TACAAACCATAGGATTTATTCCTGGGTTGTTTGTGGTCAACAAGAACCTGAGGAACTTTGGACCTGGGAAGGTGCACTTTCGGAGAGTTAGCATCTATGATTATAATTATTTCCCTGCTTTTTCAATGTCCAGAAAAGTTCTGCGACATCCTACAGCATTTATTTTTTGAATAAAAGGAGTAAGGGAATTCTAATCAAGATGTGTAATAATATGCCAAAACCCCAATGGTATTAAAAGTGCAGCAGTACCATGTTCATAAAGCCTTTTATAGTCAGCATAAAGATCTGTGTTTTAATCTGCCGTTTAAGCTCAGTAGGTTTGAAGTGAAAATTGCTTCCCCTTTTTCATTATAAAAAGTGACAGTATTGCATGTTCTTTTATTACTGGTGTTTAACAGATGACTTTGTTTTTAAGGAGACAATATCCCATTATAATAGAGTGTCTTAATTATGTCATAAAAAGGATAAATAATAAAAAGTTCAATTACAAACCTTTGCAGGGCAAATTTAGTCACTGAGGAAAATATGCTCTTTTCTGTTTCTGAAGACACCTTCCTTTTTCCTTGGGTTAGCTCACACAACTCCCTGAACCTGTGGTCATCATAGTTTCAGTCTTTCTGCTCCAATTTTCAGCCATGCCAAGTCCAATCAGAGTTGGAACAGACATGAGGTTGCCATGCCCTGACAGCAGTCAGGTTTGGCCTGGGCAAAGTAGTGCCTGGATGCATTCTGGAAATCCAGAAGTCACTATTCAAACTGATGTGGTTGGAGGTTAGTGCAGGCTCAGTGCAACTTGCAGCCATCATAGGCTGCCAGATCTAGTAAAGCTCAGCCCGGACACCAGGAACACTTCATCCTGTTGAAAGGTCTGTCGTGCTAGAGCAGACAAATTGGACTTGCCCAGCATTGGCTAGTTCAGCGGGAGCAGAAGTTTTTCCCGTCACCTGCTTCCTGATCCTTTGAATGCAGATGTTGAGGACTGATTGTGATATTTGCATGCAGAGCTAAGTGTTTATCACAGAGCTGTGCTCCCTCTGCCACAATAGTTCTGTGGCTGGTTCCTGAACGAAAACCATAAGGAATGTTCATAAGAAGAGCAATATATGAAAATTATCATCTTAAGATTAGAATTGGAAGATTCACTGGTGCAGAATATGCTCATTGATGAAAATGCTGACATCCTAGACATTTGTTTTAAAAACAACAGCTCCCCAACCCTTGTGGTTGCAAAAATTGGCTTATAAAATGGAAGCATCTAATGTAATAAGAGTAACATATTTTGCTCTGTTCAGATGAGACTTGGGTATTCTGCTTGACTTTCATTCTTTCCCTTGGCCTCTCTTTATTCTCCTGTTCTTACTGTCTGCAACCTGCACACCTTTCTCATCCTTCCTTAATCATGGGATAGGAATATATCCAAGTGGGCCAGTCCAGCCCTTTGCTTAAAAAAGCAACCTTCATCATGATCATACTGTGTGATTCAGGCTACAGTGTGCTATAAATAGAGAACATGCACAGTGCAGAAAGGTGGTTTAGAGCACATAGCTGCAAATAATTCAGGTAAAGGTAGCCCAACAGCATGGTGCTCCAGAAGGAAAAAAGAAAACCTGCAGAATGGGTTTGACCACAGCAGGAATGGATTTCTAAATGCAGCAGGGACTCCACCATTCATCTACTGGGAGGGCACTGAACTTGCCCCAAAAGAATATGTTCTGTACTGTAAGACATAATTGGATCTCTCCAGCATTGTGTATCCAGACTCTGGTTATAATCGTTTCAAATGCTCCAGAGGGATCAAGGCAGGACTGAGCCCAAGCAAGAAGTGAGAAACAGAAATAAACTCTGCTTTAAAAGCAGAGTTCAGTCAAAGTGCAGTGGAGATTTCTTTGAAAGACACAACTGGTTTGCTGTATCTCAGCTGAGTAGGACCCGGGGTTCAGAGCCAAGCAACACATTATGTTGGTTGTGGGGAATGTTTCTGAGGTTTGTTGTTTCCTTTAGCATAAGCATTCGGATCAGAATCGCCACATAGTGAGAGATAACCCTTTTCCTTCTTTTTCCATCGAATTTCCCTGCCCCAGGCATGCTTTAAAAATGAAAGAAATCTCTACAAGGGACAGTGGAGGGCCCCTTTTCTTTTAGTACTTTGCCTGCTGTGCATGGAAACTGAGAAAAGGTACCATGGAAGGGGCCTCTTGGAGCATGGCAGTCCTGATCCAAATCAAGGCTGTGCTCATTTACATTATAGCAGGAACTCCCAACCTCTTTTCTCTGTGCCAGTATAATTTAGAGTGTGTCACGGGTACCATCCCAAAATGGCTGACATCTGGAGTCTTGCCCATTTATAAAATGGTCGGCGTGGTGGGCAAGGCTGTCACAAAACACTTATCTTCCAGAAGGCAAACTGGTGAAGCTAAAAGGAATGTAATTTTCCGTTTACACGACACAGGTTAAATCTGAGCTTCAAAACAGAAATGCATCCTTTGCACCAAAATAAAGTGCAAAAAGACTTTGCTTTGCAAGTATAGACTGGACTTTGCTTTGCAGTATGCCAGCCTCTCAATAGAAAGCAATGGCAACAATAAAAAAATGTCTTAAAATAAAAATCAGGAGGAAAGGGGAGCCCAGCAGGTTCCAAGAGAGATAGGTGCCCTGTTGGAGGCCTCAGCACTAGAACGAAAAAAAGATACGTCTCAGCTACCTTCCATATGTTTAATGCAACACATAGTTTGCACAACAACTGGACAAACATGATCTAGACCAGGTTATTTTTGAGGGAAATAACTCGGACCAGAACCTCTTTGCAGGTGAATGGCTGTTCTGAGCTGTGTCTCAGAAATTGTGGCAGCAAGCCAAGAACCCTGTTGGTTAAAACCAGAGGTGTGAACCTGAGGCACAGCACCTTGAAATTAGATGGAACTGAAGCTAAGAACAATACACCATCGGAAATAATGCTTTTCAGAAAGACTGCCATAGGGAATTAAGCTGGATTTTCCTGAGCAAACTTATCCAAATAAAATCCCTTAAAAGTTCTGCACTGACCGTACTTTTTCATTGTTTAAGAAGTGACTATAGATAATTCACTTTTCCCCTTTAATATTTGGTAATACCATCATTGTGGGAGCAAGAGAAGTGTCACTTCAGATTGTTAAAAAGACAGAGTAGATAACCATACTTAAGGCCAGGAATTGCTGGTGACTCCTCTGCAGGTGCGGCTCCTTATCCATTGCAGCTTTTATTCTGAATGCTCCATCAGCTGATCATAGTGCAGCACAGTGGAAAACCTATTTCACGGGTAGAGTTTCGCACCTTGCAAGGCTTTGACAACACACAGTAAAAGCTGCAATGGATAAGGGTCCACTGATAATTGAAGTCACCCACCTCACCTGCATAAGGCCTACACAAGAGACAAAGTCACACACCTTGAGATCTGATCTTATTTGTCTCCATGCAGAGTAATACAGAAGATTAAGAATGGTTCTAACTGTTATAGCATAATATATTTCCCCCATCACAATATAACCACAGCCATGCCCTGCATTTCTGGTATTGGGAGAAAAGCCAAAGGATCCAATTTCCAGACTTGTTCTTTTTCTTTTCCTTTTTAAAAATAAATGTGCTGCTAATATGCAAATCTTGGCCATTTCCAGGTGACCCAAGATCAGCAGCTACCCTTACCCTAGTTTGACCCCAACACCTAGTGGAATTACACCCCCCCCCCCAAAAAGAGATGTACACTGTTCAAGCCTGCTGGCCTTCCCATGTTTCAGATTTGTGCAGTTCTCTGTTTTGTGCCATGCATTTACTTTCTTGGCTATTAATGAACCTTCACACTTCCTATGGACTCACATCTACATAGCATTTATTATCTTTGTGCTCAATAGAACTTCTATTTAAGATTATACTGTACATCCCATTGATTTCAATAATTCCTGGCTTTTGAGATGTCACTCACAGAACAGGTACTTTGCTTGGAGTATATTCTCATTTTCTCTCTGTGCTCCTATTGGAATATTGTCCTGTCTCATTGGACCAGAGCCTTACAGGTATATTTAAAGATGCACTAATAAGGAGCACTCATTATATCCTACACAATAGTGGTGGTCTAATTGAGGCAAAAGTTTGCCATGTCCTTTCAGAATAAGGAGTATCAAGCAAATGTCTCAAACAATAGGATGGCTTGTTTAAACATTGTATACTGCCCACAATTATTAGGATTTTGGAAACGAGTTTCTGCCTCCTGTAGTTGTTAATTATGCTCACATTTACATACCTAATGAAATTACTATGCTCTTGTACTGATGGAATAGCTCCATTGATTGCTACACCATTCTTAATGATCCTATGGTACCGCATATATCTGTACATGTCTACAAGAGACTGTATTTTTACAGTGTCTATATCCTGTTCTTAAAGTAGAAGGTAGGTCAGGAGGTTGTGACTTCTTCATGATCCACTGATGGATTCCCCTTGTCCAAGCCCAGCAATCTTTCTATTAGGCTAAACTGGATCTTAGTATGAATACATTTGAGAATGGTACATCACAGTGACAGTGAACTTTCCCCAGAAAGTAGCCTTCAATTACCCTAAAGAACATTCCAAACAAAAGTACCCTTCAGTCCCCCAAGGAACATAGGAAACTGCCTTACTGACTATTGATCTATTAGCTTACCCTTGCCTACACTGATTAACAGTAGGTCTCTTGGAATTCAGGCAAGAGTATTTTGCAGTTCTACTTCCAGCGAACTGCCAGTGATTGAACTTTTTTTTTGCCTGCAAATTATGCACTTTCCCACTGAGCTATAACTCTTTCCCAAATTACTTGAGTAAGCATTTGCATAGTTTCTTGCTAGAGGACTTTCCAAATAATTACATCCCAACAGTTGGAGTGGTCAATTAATATATTGTAAGTAATATTTGCTCCTGTGAAAGAAAGCAAACTACAATACAATACAAGATATGCTCTTTGGAGAGTTTTAATTGATTAATTTATCTTTCAGCCACATAAATAGAAGGACACAATTTGAAAATCCAGTTTTGGAGGCAAAAAGGAAGCTACAGCAGCGTACCATGCCCAACGCAGAACTTGGAACAAAGCCTATGCCGGCCCATGGTTTCCGAGGTACAGTATCATGTCAGTGCACCATATTCCATTAAGTTTTCCATTTTTATAGCAATGTTATTAAGGGATGATTACGCAAATGACTGATACATTCAGTCTTCCCACTGGAAAAAAGGTGAAAAACTGGTTCCAAATTGTCCAGAAAATTAATCGTCCTGCATTCACCAGCTTGTTTAAGACAGAACAAAGTGTTTAGCAGCTGGTAAGATCAATTACCTTGAATGGAAGCCAAAATATCCAATAAACAATAGCCATATTGGTGTATTGAAACCATGACTGCTTTTATAGCCTTGGAGGGAGGGTCCTTCTAATGAGGGGGTGGATCACTGATATTACAATTAAGGAAGGTGCAGAGCTATTCACAAAGTGTAGGGAGTATATGTTGGGGCTGATTAGTTGTCTCCTAGTGCAGTTTATAGAGCCAAAACAGACGTGACTTTAATTATGTGAATCTATAATGTTTAAGAATTGCAGCCACACAGGTGGTCGAAGTGGATGAAGTGCATGAGGAACAGGTGCTTCACTCTTTCCTTCCACATTGTGGTCCTGCCCAGAATCCTCACCCCGTAGCTCCTATTGACCTAGCATAGGAAGCCACCATCCACGTCCCTTCTAGGGCTCATGCATCTTCAGGAGGACAGTTAGTGGCACAAATGTGGCAAGCAGGGAAAGGTTGAACCCCCTTATTTCTGTGCCATCATCCTGATCATTCCCATCTCATAGTTGCTATTGTTAAAGAGGGGAAAAAGCAAACAAAACAAAACACTTAAAGGACTTAGAGTCACACTGGTTATTTCCCAAGGATATACCCCAAGGGCAGTGTGTTGCCAGAGGAACTTGTGTCTCCCACCGGAACTGCCTCTGCTTCATTCGGAAACAGCCCCTCACGTGAATAACCTGGCTTGGTGGGAAAGGGCAAGAGTGTATTGGTGATGAAGAGGTGAATGCACGCAAGGGGCGGCGGGAAGGTGGTTATCACATGTAGAGTTTAAATTATTTACAAAAGCTTGCAGGCAAAGAATGAGGCTTCTTCTCCTTTATAACAGTAGAAAGCTCCTCATCAACATTACCTAGGCCCAAACATGTTCACCCGCGCCCTGCTCCTCAGAGGTCTCGCAGTGTGAGTGACCTGTCTCTGAGTCCGTGGGACCATGCTGGAGTGTACAGGCTGTATGGTATGTCCAAGTGCTGCTACTTACCCAGGCTGCACTTTTGTAACAGAACAAAAAAAGGTAGTGAGCTATTTTTTTCAAATGATCATCACCACCCCTTTCACTTCTTCCTGTACCTTTTCTCACATAACCGAGCACATGCGGATGGGTGAGGCTATTCAGCTGCCTGCCGGTCTTTGTCCTACCTCACAGCGAACCACCCTGAAAGCCAATGTCTTGGGCACTGAGCCGTCTCACAAGTCATAAATGCTCTCTACCACTTGTTGAGATTACGCGCATATACACACTTGCACGCCTGTGAATGGCTAAGGAAGCAACAAACTGCAGTGCGATTTAGCATTGTTATTTTACAAAGCTAGTTTGACAGATGGAAAAAAAGAGATTGTGACTAACTACCACATTTCTGCTTTTTTCATTTTTGGACAGCTTTTTTAGTACCCCAAAGTCCAATTTCAAATTAACTTATTGAAGAATACAATCCTATGCAAGTTTAGACAGGAAAAAAGGACTACAATGCCCAGCATGGGAATTCAGCTTGCATCAAGCTTGCATAGGACCATACCTTAAGACACTGAAGAAAGTACTACTTTCTACTACAAGGCTAAGCATATCCTTCCCTTGCTGGTTTTTGCCATATGTAGAAGATAACTCACTAATGCTTTGGTTTCTCTGGGAATGCTTGCACTTTTATTTTGCTTTTAAGCTTCAAAAATGCCACCTTGTTGCCTGCTAGCGCTTCTGCTGCACTGCGGGAATCCAGCCATTGCTGTTTTTTACAGCATGACCCCAACATTATTTATTTTTCTTTATGTTGACTGATGTAGAAAAACCGCTCTTCACCCGTGATGCCTCACAACTGAAGGGGACTTTCCTCAGCACAACCCTTAAAAAAAGCAATATGGGCTTTGGATTTACCATCATTGGTGGGGATGAGCCCGATGAGTTTCTTCAGGTGAAGAGTGTCATTCCTGATGGGCCTGCAGCACAGGATGGCAAAATGGAAACAGGTACGTTGGAGGGTTTCCTTCACTTGACAGAGCATGAAACAGAGCCCAATGGGCGATTTCACCCTTGTTGACGTGCCTGTAATATCTGGGGTCACTGTTTCTCTGCTTCACAAGTTCTGTGCAGAATCAGACAGTGTGGAGCAGTGCTTTAATCAAGCAGGGGAATGAAAATTATCCTGTTCGTTCCTTCTTCTGCAAAGGTTCCAGTACTCCAAGACTATTAGGGAAGTGGCCACTTCATGCAGTTTGTTTGTTTAACAGTGAATAGGCACATTCCACACACTGGGTAATCACAGTCTAGCAACTCTCCAGGGCAGCAGATTTCAGTTGGCACATGCACAACTTCACCATTCTGCAGCCAGCAATACAGTTTGTGGCTTGCCAAGTTGTGATGAAATGCCAAAGTCTGCCATCATTCAACATGTTCTAAATCTGGGGGAAATTGGGCTACAAGATTACATTTTGAAAAGGAGTGCATTCAGTTGCTTCAGATTCAAGAATTAGAGCCACTAGTCCACAGTAACATCCTCTAGATTCATGCTGTTTCCCAGTTACAAATTACACACCTTTCAAGAAATGAATTCTGAGAACACCGTTAGGACAAAGCCCCAGTAGGTTAATGAGAGGAGTTTTACATTTACATCTTGCTTTTGTGTATGATTTGTGTGTATGTAGTAGAAGAAGAAACCATTATTTGGTCTTGTTTTTATTATCCAGAGTCAGTATGAATTCTGCACATACAAATATATTGACAATGGATGTGCAGATGAAAAGCTTTGAGAGTTAAATTGCTTTGATGGGTTTAAAACAGAAGTGATTGTAAGTTTGCAGGCTTTTTAAATAATGAAATGTATCTTTAATGAAGTGGTGCCGGCAGTGATGGGCTGATAGAGAGAGCTCATAATTTGCATTGTTCTCCTTGACCTTAAGATAAAAATTGGCACAGTGTGGCAAAAAAAAGGGTAAGTTAGCAAGGAAGGAAAGAAGGAAGGAAGGAAAGATAGAGAGCGAGAGAGAGTTGGGGAGGGGGAGGGGGAGGAGGGAAAGTATTCCAGAGCTTGCTAGAGATCAGAACAAACTTTGGAGTACTACTAGCAATAAAATGAATCACTTTTGAAGTGGATTGTGACCTTTGTTTCTTCTTGTTTCTGTCAGAGGTGTTTTCTCAGGGCTCATTAACAGAGCATATTGCCAATATTAATGGGTGTTTACATGTCCCTTCAATTAAATGTGTAGATGCAGCCTTTAAAAAATTGAGTTTTTGCTGCAGTGCTTTATATGATCACTTACTGTATTAGAACTGCTAGAATTGGGGTCTTATTTTCTGTTCACAGTTGCAGAAACATTTCCCAAATGACAAAATGCAAGGCAGTAGAAATACTTAGATGGCACTTTTATTTTATTGTTCTATATTTGGAAATATTTTATTCCCATGGCTGTATTTAACCTAATATCTAGTTTTATTTAAACCACTTTAACTTCACCAAAATGATACCAAATCATAATGTATTTAATTTCATAAATGTGAAACCTAGCATTCAGCATACTTGCATTGGCTTATGCCAACAAAGCTACACATCTTCCTGTTATAGACAATTTCAGTAGTGGTGCAAAAGTTATTACACTACACAACTGGTTCGGGTGTCTTTTAGTGTGCTATTTGGGTATTCTCCAGTGACGCTGGCAGTAATCAATCTACCTTTCAGCCTGAACCTACTTCCGTTGTGCTAACTGAAAAGATGGGGAAAGATGTAAAGCCAAAGGGAATGGGAAACATGAGAAGAAAAGCCCTCTGATAGGAGCTGTATAAGGCTCACCTGGCTATCTTCAGTGAAAAGATAATTTAACTTATCTAATAATATTCATTTTCTAGGAATATACGCTGATAGTGCATACCAATGGCAGTTGCTGACCAATGTGACTGGTGAGCCAGAATGCAGATCAACTGAGATAGACTTGCTCAATCAGTACAGCATGTTTAAAAAGTTATTCATAAACAAAAAAATGACAAAATATAGGACAAAAAGGGCAAGAATAGAGCATTCTGCTTTCACTGTAGCCTTAATTCTGGGCACTGCATACTGGCAAATTACATGGGTGAAACAAAATGCACATGAAATACAGCCTGATGATAATACAACAAAAGAAATCATTATGCCTAGACGTGAGTGAATCCCATTGGATCTGATTCAATTTGAGTTCAATATTACCAGATGCCTTCTCTGAGCCCAATTTGTTTCAGTAGCTTTGCTATTCCAGGATAAGGAACATTCCAGACTGATGGTGTTTATGTATTTCTAGCCTTCATAAATTATGGCTGCTTTGTGTCTGATGGTGTCTCATGCATGCACATTCGGCTTGAGTTTGCATTATATTTTGGATAATGTATTCTAGTTGTTCCAGTACTTCTAATTCCATGTGGTGCAGAAGTGAATTGGTGATGAAAACAAACAATTTTTAATCTAGTCAAGGCAAGCAAAGGTGATGTCACAAAATTGTACAGGTACAAGTTGAATGTGTTTCGTGAAGATTAACTTAGTCATTCCCATAATCATATAAAGGAGACAGCAGAATTGGATGAGATTTTAAAAGATGGTCATGAAATTGTTAAAAATCATACTGTGATAATTTACTGTGAATATAAAACCTATGTCTTCTCTGGGGATGGCTGAATCTTATTTGCTTTCTCATACTTTCAAATCTTAAGCTTATTGTACTCTTTTTCAAAGTCTACATGAAATTTCACATTTATTTTATTTACAATATTTCTTATGACTCCACATTAAAACAGATTTCATAGCAGTAAACAGTATCAGGTTAAATCGAATAACAGAATAATACCAGTGTATTAAGAATATTTAGAAACAAAATACCATTATGACTGTGGCTGATCAGTAATAAGAGGCTTGCCAGTTGGAGTAAGATTGTCTTTACCAGGTACTAAAAACAGCACAGCATTGGTGCCCTCCTAACCTTCCAAGGTAGGGAATTCTGTAGAAATGGCATCTCGCAACAAGAGCTAAGCTGTGGCATTAACAGCTAAGCTGCATGCATTAACTCCAGCTTCCAGGGCAGCCTTAAAGGGCATTGCAGCCATCCAGTTATGAGGTTATGAGCACCTCTATCACAGTAGCCAAGCTATCCCTGTCTAGGAGAGGCTGTAGCTGGAAAACTCCAGGCCACTGCCATCACCTGGGACTCCAGCAACAGTGATAGATCTAGGAATACCCCTGCACTACAGACCCAATAATTTCAGGGGAATGCAACCCTATCCAGACCACATCATAAACCTATCCCTTGGACTTGGGAACCACTCCCTCACAAGGTTTCTGTCGTTTCTTGCCAGGATTCAGCTCCAGTTTATTGGCTCTCATCCATCCCCTCACTGAGTCCAAGTGCTGATCTAGGATTTGTGCAGCCTTTCCTGATCCAGTTATAACAGGAAGATAGAGCTGTGTGTCATCAGCATATCAGTGTATGAACATTTGCAACCCTGCATCTTCTGGTACCCTAACAGCCTCCTCATGCCATATCTCCTCCAGCTTCAAGTCACTTGGACCACCTCCGAGGGACCCTGCATAAAATCTTCCATGCACATCTTCCTTCACCTGAAATATTCAGTATTCATTTGCAGTGCAAACACACTATCAGCCATCCGTGCACCCTTTATAAATCAGTCATACACAAGCAACTTGAACACAGTCAAAATTTGACCTGCCACTGGTCGCAGATAGGGCATCCGGTCTGCCACTCCATTAGCAGAAATGATAACCTCCTTCATTCCAACTGTCACTCAGAGTGTTCCTGGCACTGCTCCTCACTGGATCTTACCCAGAGCAGATCCTTCCTCTTTCCAACGCAGGATCCCAATATGAGCAGAAGCAGCAGCCACAAAGTGCAAGCTGATTGACCAAGAGGCTCCTGAGCTGGTAGACCACACAGCTCAGAATGAATCTAAGCATGCAACCACACTATGCAAACATATAAAACAGAAAAGTGAGCACCTTTGCCCTTGTAGCATCCTGAAGGGGCAAACCCCTTTGCTATGGCCCCCTCCAAAGATTCCTCTTATAGGTGCCCCCCACATAGCAGGCCTACTTACAAGCCAGGCCAAGTAGGTACAGTTTGTTTTGATAGTATGCTTTCTGTGCACATTTCCCCTGATACATACTTGAATTCATATGAGCCAGTGTTGTAGTGGTTAAGAACACAGGCCTGGGAATCAGGCATAAAAACCAGCCGGCTCCTCTCGTAACATGCCTGCCATGTGCATGTCCAGTCTTTCCTTGCACACCCTCACCAATGGGGCTTCAACTGCCTCCCGTGGAAGCCCATTCCATACCCTAGGGGTTTTAACTGTCAGGAAGTACTTCCTGGCATCCAAATTGAACCTGGGTTCCCTGAGCTTTGCTCCACTGGAGTGCATCTTGCTCTCCTCTGCAGGGGAGAACAGGTCTCTACCCACCTCTGTGTGACAACCCCTCACATGCCTGTCTGGGTTCTAGTCCTTGCTCAGCCATGGAGCCAGCTGGGTGACTTTGGGCCAGTCACAGACTCTCAGCCCAACCTATCTCACAAGGTGGTTGTTGTGCGGATAAGACTGAGAGCAGCAGGAGGAGAATAGTATAAGCTACTCTGATTTCTTTAAAAAAAAGGCAGAATGTACATCTAAGAAATGAATAATAACTTTTTGCAAGTAGTTCTCCCTAAAAATATGTGTTTTGGTAGCTCAATTTTTCAACAATGTGCATTTTTGTGAACAGTTGCCCTTAATATGTGCCTTTTTTGTATGCATTTTGGACTGGAGATCTACATTTCAAAAATCAGGAAAGTACAACTAAAGTATGACAGTGTATTTGTCACATTTTGATTTGGAAAGTGTGAATTAGAAATGTGACCTGAATGAATTTCTCCTCTATTTCTAGCCTCTGCATGGTGTGAATACAGAATTCTACCCTGGTGCAAGTGCAAAACAGAGAACAAACATTTTTGGGACTCTA